AAGGAAGAGGAGGAGAATGAGAAGGAGAAGGAAAAAGGAGGAGAGAAGGAAGAAGGAGGAGGAGAAGGGAAAAGGAGACGGAGGAGGAGAAGGAAAAATAAGGAGGAGGAGGAGAAGGAGAAGGAAAAAGGATAAGGAGGAGAATGAGGAGAAGGGAAAAGGAGGAGGAGAAAGAAAAGGAGGAGCAGAAGGAAAAGGAGAAGGAAAAAGGAAGAGGAGAAGGAAAAGGAGAAGGAGGAGGAGAAGGAAAAGGATCATCCTGGAACAAGTGGTCCACGACCCTCCAGTGCTGCTTTATCCCAAAGTTTGCTTTTCCTGCTTCCATAATTGGATGTAAATTGGGAAAGCAGCTTTTCCTGCTTCCATATTTTGGTGTAAATTGGGAAAGCAGCTTTTCCTGGTTCCATATTTTGTTGTAAATTGGGAAAACATCTTTTCCTGATTCCATATTTTGGAGAAAAATGGGAAAACAACTTTTCTTTGTTCCATATTTAGGTGTAAATTAAGAAAACAGCTTTTCCTGGATCCATATTTCATGTAAATTGGGAAAACAGCTTTTCCTGCTTCCTTATTTCTGTCTAAATTGGGAAAGCAGCTTTTCCTTGTTCCATATTTAGGTGTAAATAAGGAAAGCAGTTTTTCCTGCTTCCATATTTGGGTGTGAATTGGTAAAGGAGCTTTTCCTAATTCCATATTTTGTTGTAAATAGGGAAAACAGTTTTTCCTGGTTCCATATTTCATGTAAATAGGGAAAGGAGATTTTCCTGATTCCATATTTTGGAGAAAAATGGGAAAATAGTTTTTCCTTATTCCATATTTAGGTGTAAATTGGGAAAACAGCTTTTCCTGCTTCCATATTTTGGTGTAAATTAGCAAAACAGCTTTTCCTGGTTGTATATTTTGGTGTTGGGAAAGGAGCTTTTCCTGATTCCCTATTTTGGAGAAAATTGGGAAATCAGCTTTTCCTTGTTCCATATTTTGGTGTAAATTGGGAAAACAGCTTTTTCTGCTTCCATATTTTGGAAAAAAATGGGAAAACAGCTTTTCCTGGTTCCATATTTTGGTGTAAATTGGGAAAGCAGCTTTTCCTGGATCCATATTTTGGCGTAAATTGGGGAAAGAACTTTTCCTGATTCCATATTTCATGTAAATTAAGAAAACAGCTTTTCCTGCTTCCATATTTCTGTGTAAATTGGGAAAGGAGATTTTCCTGATTCCATATTTTAGTTTAAATTGGGAAAACAGTTTTTCCTTGGTCCATATTTTGTTGTAAATTAAGAAAACAGCTTTTCCTGGATCCATATTTGGGTGTAAATTGGGAAAGCAGCTTTTCCCGAGGTGGATTTTGTGGGAGTGCTGGATCCAAGGC